GTGTACCTATACTTTGATAGAATGATCCGATTTTTAAAATATCCTTTTCATTTAAACGTATTGTTGGACCAAATTGAACTCCTGGTTGACTTCGAATTGAATCAAAAGGTCTAAAATTTTAATATTTAAAATGACATATTTTTTGTTTTGTTAAAATAATTTATGATGTTTACCTATTAATTGTTGGTATGGAACCAAATTGACGTACTTGAATTAACGGTTGTTGTTGTAATTGATTATGACGAAAACTAGATGAACGTACAACTTGTTCGGAATCACTGGCATATTGTTGAAAATCAAGAAATGATTGAGGTATTGGTGCACGATAACGTCTTCCTCCTGCTGTTACAGGTACTGAACGTCCATCTGGTAATGATCGATATTTCCATGAACCAGGCATATCAATGAAATCAGTATGAGCAAAATCAAGTGATGCTAAACTTGATTCATCTGTTTCTCCTATTTCAGCACGTATAGTTTTTGATGTTGGTCCCATTTGAGGTGCTGTTGTTGATCGAACACCCGTTGATTCCGTACTTGTTAACGGTGCTTGCTGTTGCTGCTGCTGCTGCTGTTGTTGCTGTTGTTGTTGTTCGTCATATATTTGTTGCGAAAGATGATAGTGTTGTAAAGTAGGCGAGCCATATAAATGATGAGGCGAGACTATAAAAAAAGAGAACAAGAAAAAAGAAGTAGAGATTTTTTCTTTTTTTGTATTATTATTATTCTGATTAGATCATATCGAAGAAAAAGAAGAATGTTTATGCGACAACTGTTAAAAGAAGAATAAAGCATGTATAGGATATATATATATATATATATATAAGTATAAGGCTAATGATTGACGAACGAAGAACCTTGTCTATGATGCAATATTAGTTGAAGATTAACGTATAGAAGAGAACAGGAAATCGATGGGAGGAGTTTGTATATGTATATTATTAGTGTCAAAATATACGTTTCTATTGAATATCAATATGAAGAAATGCATCTTTTTCTATTCTTACCTTGTGCCAAGGCAATATTTGGCATTGATCGAATACTAGCCGATGGATGATGATAATCATTGATATTAATAAATTCATCTTGCATGATAGATGTTTCTGGTGGACCATCTTGGAAAAATTGTGGAGATTGTGTTGAATAAGCTACATTAACAAAATGAACATATGGTGATGGATTAGGTGTAGCAGCAATAAGGCCAATATGTTGATGGGTATTATCTATATTTGGTATTCCTGTTGACATTGTTCGAGTTGGTGAATCATTATTTGTTTGAACTTCGACATTTCGTGAAGTAGGTGATGATTGATCCGTAACGGTAGTTGTTTTTTCCTGTGTTTTTGTATCCGATTTTTTCATCATTGGTTTTGATGATGATGATTTTATTGTAGTAGATCCTATTGGTGGTATAGGTGAAGTTGAAGTTGAAAGTTGAGATGTTAATTGTTGTTCAGCTTCTTTTGATACAATTAAAAATGTTGGTTTAAGAACATCCACAGGTCGCTGAGTATATTGTTGATGATGCGGTGATATTGGTTGAAAATTCGTATTTATTGATGATAATGGTTGACGTGTATTGAAATAGGTATGTGCTTGTGCAGGTGAAACCGTTCCGTGAATAAATGTTGGATAATCCGTATAATAATAATGTGAAGGAACACGATTTCCTCCACCTTTTCTTAATGTTGCGTAAGCTGGATAAGGAACTGTACTTGAACGAGGAAAACGAGAATTTGTTATATCTTGTTGTTGTTGTTGTTGTTCGTTTGTTCCATTCGTAGGTAAATATTCGAGATTTTCATTTATAGATTGTAAACCTGTTTTTGATGCTTGATTTTGTTGTGGTGGAGCTGAATGATGTTGTTGATGTGCTGTACTAAAATTAGGAAGAGAAGAAGAAGAAATATTAGAGTTTAATAATGTTGTCTCTTTTATAGTAGTTTTCTTCTTCTTCTTTGGTAATTGTTCTTTAGGATTTGTAGTTGTTTCTTTAACTACTGTTTTCATTATGGATGACATGCCACACGTGTAATATATAGATTGCACAAAAAAAGTTAATCGTATAATGAAGACAGAAGAAATAAGTGCGCTTCTCTTTTTCTACTTTTTTTTTGTTCTCGATTAATTCGAACACACACACACACACGCGTACAAAATATGTTTTTCGTTCTCTAACTTTATCTCCCTTTTTTTTATTTTACAGACCTATTTTATATTTTCGTGTAAGTATGT